TAAGAATAGACAAACGTGAATGAGAAAGAATGAGAATAAAACAGAGAATGCAAAAGAAAGAAGTAAAACGAATGAAAAAATAAAGAAGAAACAAAGCAAGAAAGAAGCAACAACAATAAAATGGTTTAAACTGCGAGAAAAAAAAAAGAAATGAAGAAAGAACGGAAGAAAAAGATTAACAAAAATGTAATTTTTTTTGTTGACAATTTTCATCCATTTTTTGTAACTTTTTAACAATGAAACTAAAAGACTTCAAATACTTCCATTGATGAGTATTGATGATAAGACAAGTTTCTGACAAATGTAAAGTAGTTTGTGTAATTAATTTACACAATTTTAAGCGAAACAAGATTTTTATGTTGCTGATTTACGTCAAGTAATGTACTTATTATAATCTTCACGTGACGAGTAATTAAACAGTAAGCGATCTAATCACCCCGGATCCAGATCTGTTTGGAGATTTTGAGATGCATTTCTGTGAAGTCACTTTCGCTATGTTAGACAATATTAAAAAAAAAGATTTTTCTACATTCACAGCATGCACCTTTAACTACATATTTCGTTAACAAATTCAGTCTACAAATAATACACAGTTCTGTTATGACATACGGGTTGTATGAATGGCTCATAACTTTGTTGGAATTTGATAGTTACAAGTAATTCTCCTATTGTCTTTCTGTGAAACGAACTCTTAGAAAAAGAGGGTAATGGATAAATTGTCGACATTTTATATTTTTAATTTCACGCATGCACTTTGTTTAGATTTTTCCGACTGCACAGTCTAGTAGCGTCAGTTGGGCACAGTCTAGTAGCGTCAGTTGGGCACAGTCTATGAGAAAATGAGAACCATGACGCAATTCACTCTGCCAGAAATTTGGAAACGGGTTGGAATTCACGTAGGAAGCACCAATATGAGCATTGTTTGGGGGACAATTTGAGGACAGTGCGGAGGATTTGGAAAGAGTTGGATGTGCCTAATGGTGATTATAAAGGTACGACAGCTCGGAAATCTGATGGTTCTGATAAGATCGCCTGAATTTGTTAGTGAGGGCCTCAGACTTAACAAGGAGGCCTACATAAAGTGCCTTGAGGGAGTAGTGCTTTCCTGAGTCGAGATGGTGGCTGCAGAAAGGACTGTGCACTATACCACACAAGTAGGAGAACCGAGTCATGGCTGTCAGACAATTTCTGCGACCACATTACCTATTACATCTAGCCACCTAACTTCCCAGGCTGCACCCCCATTAATCATTATGTGTGGGGTGCAGTTGAGCGAGAGACAAACAAAACTCTTTGTAACACCAAAGATGAATTGAAGGTATGGATTATGGCAGCATTTAAGGAGACTGTCTGGAAGAGTTGCAGGATATTCTGAAGTCGTCTGGAGGCCGTGCTGGATCCAATGGCGATTATAGTGAATAAATTTACGCTCTAGTATTTCAAGATATTTTTGTATAATTTTGGTACATATATCATACAAATGAGATGTCAGTATTATTTTCATTTTTTTTTCGTAAATTAGACGACAATTTATCCATCGCACACTGTACTTTTCAGATTTCAAAATTTAAAAACATCTGTGCATTTCTGCTAAAGTGAATTTTGCGAAATTTATGTGTATTTTTTAATAGTTTCTTTGTGTTTGCTTGTTTAAAAGAATTCTTCTTCTATGTGCCGTGTTTCTTTAGGACGTAGATGATCATGGCTCTCCACAATTCTCTGTCATTTATAGCTGTTATATTTTTTGTCTTTTTGCCATTTCTACCCAAAACCTGCTCCCCTATATATTGACTCAAGCTCGTCGAGTTGGTTGTTTGTCGTTTCAATCGGTCCTGTGAGTATCAAATTTTCCAAGCACTCTTTCCTTATTATGCAGCCCAGAAATTTCAACTGTCACTACCTGATAGTGTCCCCTTTCTCGTCATGTCTCTAGAAGTTCGGCGTTGCTCACATATTCGGTCTATGGTATTCTAAACATGAGTAGAACTTCCGTTGCTTCATGTCTCTTCACTGTCATATAGAAGGACTGATACTTTGAAAGTATTACATATATCAAACTAATAAATGCTATTGACGAATTATTTTATAAAGGAGTCCATCGAGAATCGATAATGACCCAATAAGCTAGGTGCCTTGCGCAGGTTGGCATGGTTGCAATGGTTTGCGTTGAATCACATCAACTCTCTTTTCCTACTCCTACAATCCCAGGATTCAGAGAATACCAGATAATAATGCCAGTTATAACTGCATTTGAGCTTCCCAGGTTGGTTTGAAATGACTCCGGATTTTCCAGGCTGATTTGAACTCAGTTTTCCTTCTAGAGTTAGAGAACCTAGTCTGTCCTATTTACCTATACCCGGGGGCGAGATAGATTCATAACTTTCCCAAGGCCATTAGCACGTAAATCGATGTAAAGAATTCGACTGGAATTCGAACTCGGCTCTCTGATTCCTCAGTAAAAAATAATTAAAGATACAACGGCTAGTGGTGATCTTTTATCCTGATATAACTGAGCGAGAACGAGGAGAGAGAGAAAAAGTTTGAAGTGAAGTCTATGATAATTGTATATTTTCCTTCCAATAGTGCCAACGATTGGTATTCGAATGGCGATAAAACCAAAATGCTGAGTTTCAAGTCAAGCCATATATTTCTTACTTTGAAGATTTATTATTCTCATCTTTCATTCAATACTTTTCATTTTCAATTTTTGTCAGTATAATTATCTAGAAGTCGCGAAACCATTGAAAAAGTGGCATAAGAAAATAGCTGTTGTTAATATCGGAGCACTTGGAGCGCTTCGAAAGAGACTTAAAAATACGGAAGAAACTGGAAATCTGAGAGTGAATAGAAGATATTCATACAAGAGTGTTGGTAAAAAGAACGCTGGTGGTTTAAAGAAATTTGCTGTCATTAGATATTTTTTTTTTTTTGCTATTGGGAAGAAAAATTAATGTAATGTTACAAATAAAGAATATCTTGTTGAGGAATATTTGTTGTCACTTGATCTTCAGTGAAAATCAATATGACTAATGAGAAACTACGAAAAATTAATAAGCGGAAAAAATTCGCTTCGTTCACAAGCAATCATAATATTTCAGGCATGCAAATGATGATCGAAATCTCCCACGAGATTTAAACGGAATTCAACTCATTAGAGAGCGACAGGGGAGAGAACTCCACCGTGGCTTTACGGAGTTAACAAGACATGTTACTTGACTTAAGGACTGAAGATGAAAATGACAAGATTATAGGGAGGCTCGTGAAAAAAAAAGTATGTTTCTTAATTTAGGAAAACAAAATATATTTTGTCAATTCGTTCTCATCTCTTTGTCATAGAAAGAATCAGTATCAGGTAAAAGAAAAAAAAGAAAAAAAAGAAAATGCCAGACAGAGGGAGAGAAAGTGGCAGGAGGAAGATATAGGGGGAAATATGAAGAAGCAAGGAAGGAAGAGAGGAAGGACAGAAGGAAAGGAGGAAAAAAATGGAAGAAAGGAAGGAAGGAAGGAATGAAAGAAGGAAGGAAGGAAAGAAGTAAGTAAGGAAGGAAGGAATGAGAGAAGAGCCAAAAGAAAGGTGATAAGGATAAAGAAACATATAAACAAAAGACTGGAATCTAAAAGCTTCTTTTGCTATTTACCGAGTCTCTTCGGCACATTGGCGAATATGGCACTCCACAATTTCCTGTCCTTTTTTACTCTTAATAATTTTTTATTTTTATCTCTTTTAAACCTTGATTCGAAATCCATTTATTCAAGTTCCCTACCTTGGTTAGACGTTATTTTTTTTCTTTCCGTCTTATCTTCTATCTGTCCTGTGAGTATCAAATTTTCCAAGTACACTTCCCTCGTTATGTGCCCTATAAATTTCAACTGTCTCTTCTTAATGCCAAGCTTAAGTGACCTTTTTATTTGTTTTCTCTAAAATTTTCTCGTTGCTCACATGACCAATACAAGGAGCATACAGAGACGATAATCTATATATAAAACCAATTTTGTTTTAATAAAGTTACTGTTAAGGGGTCCACCCCTTTTTCATACAAGTGGACTCGCCTAGTGTGTACTTGTACTGCTGCCGGTGAATACCCGGGAGTGACAGTAAGGGTGAGACAGTGATAGAGTGAGAGAGTGAGGTAACCGCTTTGTAGGAGTCACAGTTGCGAGCACGTAGACTCAGAAGGAAGTCCTACTTCGATACTGAATTTCCCAGACTGTATATATATTATTATTATTGCTACTAACCGCATTTCTGGATCTACTAACCGTATTACCAATTGTATTATTACGTCAATAAATTTATTTGCTATATTTCATTCCTGCATTTGTCATTAATTTGAGACCGGATTTCATCCCGGAATCCACAACAGTTACCTACCTTGAACTGGTGACGCTAGGTGGCAATGTCTTTGTTATGACAAGAGTGTCATTTTCTTGAAAGCTCTGAGTCTATGATAATAATAATTTGTAAAAAGCTATATTTGTTTGTGATTTCTTTCAAAAATGGATAGTCCTCCGTAAGAACTCCCAGTTTCATTCATTTGAAGCCATTGATCTGAGAAAATGTCTTTATACCCTTGACAGTTTAAACATTTCTTAACCTAGGCGCCTTGTATGACATCCATATGAAAGTCTCGACCTGACGAGGCTATTTAACAACATGATTCGAGATTTTCGGTTAATGTTTTGATTTTGTAGCAACTCAAGTGCAACGTATTTTGCGTTCAGTTTTTTTCATCTCAGTCAGTCAGTTATGTGCCATGCGTGATACACGCTTAGGCAATCATGTATCTTTCGACGAGGCAGATTTTTTCCCGCAGTAGGTTACCATTTGTTTCTGCAGTATACAAGGTCTGTCCTGCTATTTACCCATAGCAGGGAGAAGAGGAGAATTCATACTTTTCCCACGTAAGTGAATGTAATGGATTCAACTGAAATTCGAAATCGGCTCTCCGATTCCTCAATTCGAGCCGCTATCGTACTACGAACAATTTGGAAGATTTGAGATGATCTGTTGTCTCTCGTTCCCCACCAATAACGACAAGATATCTGGTATGAATATTCAAATGCTTGAAATAATAATAATAATATTAATAATAATAATAATAATGATAAGAAGAAGAAAAAGAAGAAGAAGAAAGAGAAAGAGAAAGAGAAAAAGAAAAGAAAGAACCTGAGAAAAAATAAATAATAACTGAACAAAAATCAGGAAAGAAAGACAAAAATAACGAAAACATTAGTGAAATAAGATAAACGTACGAACCCCCCACCCGATTCCCAATCACTGCCCCCCCCCACACACACGTACGCATAAACGAACAAACGAATGTTATCCAGAAATAAATATGGAAAAATCGAGTGAATGAAATAATGACAGGAGAAAGATTTCGGTGTATCTCGTCCCTTATTGGTAATAAAGGAATTTAATAAGGGAGCTGCGTCGGTGTTAGGATCTCCTTGTCTGTCGTCTTTTATGGCGCCAATGGTTTCCATCGTTTGGCTGGCCTGTCAAAATCTGAAACGCTCGCATTCCCTCCACCTCAAGTTGCCTTTGAAAAACTTGTTTAAAAAATATCCACGATTTCGCTTCGTTTTTTTTTTCTTTTGTTTTATATTCTGGTTTTATTTTTTCATTGATATTTTTTTTAAATTTCTGTTACTTACTAATTTCCATATTTCATTCTTTCGTTTTCTTTAAGAATTATTCTTTGTTACAATTAGACTACTTGTTTCTTTCTTTTTATGTCTTTCAATTCCATTTTCTTTTTTCTTTCAGTTAGATATTTCTTTTCTTAATTTATCTACTTTATTTCTATCTGTCCATTTTTTTTAGTTTGAACTTTGTTTCAACTGAACTTTTTCTTCAGTTAAGCTTCTTTTTTTCTTTCTTTCTTTCTTTCTTTTTTCTTATTTTCTTTTTTCGGTCTTCTTTCTGTCTTTCTTTCTATCTTTCTTTTTCTTTCTTTCTTTTTTCATACTTTCTTTCCTTTTTACTTTTTCTTTCTTTTATCTTTCTTACTTTCTTTCACTTCGTTTTGTTATCACTATATATCTATCTTCATTCATGTTTGTCTTTTTTCTTCTCTTTTCTTTTTCGTCTTCCTTTATTGATTATCTTTTACATTCCCTCTCTTTTGTTAACCCAATCCTACCATTTTTCTTTTCTTTTCTTTTCTTTCTTTCTTTCTTTCTTTCTTTCTTTCTTTCTTTCTTTCTTTCTTTCTTTCAGAACTTATTACTATGCTCTTTCTAATGTGATAACAATAACTTGTTGTTGTTGGTCTTCTTCTTCTTCTTCTTCTTCTTCTTCTTCTTCTTCTTCTTCTTCTTTTTCTTTATATATTGTCTTTAACATGATGATACACCGCGCCATGATTGTCAACCCATTTGACTTTGTGACTAATACACTTTCTCTTTCTCCTTTTTGTTCATATCTCATTATAGATTCTTTCTTACTTTCCTCTCTCTCTCTCTCTCTCTCTCTCTCTCTCTCTCTGTATCAGTCCTTTTCTTTATCTGTTTTCATACCTCTCTTTCTCTCTCTATCTTTCTAACTCATTTTTATCCCTTTCTCTGTTACTTTCTCTTTCTCTCTTTCTACCCTTTTTCCATGTCTCTCTCCTCCTCCTCTCTTTCATTTCTGCTTCTCTCACTTTCCTATTTTCCCCCATTATCTATTTCTTTTATCTTTATATATTTCTTTACTACTTTCCCCATTTTTTTCTGTCATTTACACCACCCTTTCCTTTGCTTCCTTTCCATTTCGCTTCTTTCTAAGATAAAAGTGCAGAATGGTCATCTGTCAAACATCACCTGTCAGTGTCACGTAGCGAACTATCCTGTCCATCACGTGACAGCGAACGGGCATGCACCGTCCAAAACTGGATCCCTGGCCTTTCTTTCTGGATGATTGTTGAGGGTTACCGTATTTCTTATGTTCGTTCGTCTATTTTTGCCTAATTTTGTCTGTCATTTCTCCGTTTTTGCACGACCCACACAGATTTGAAAAGTTTCTTTCTTTTCCTTATATCTGCTTTGCCTGAAATAGGTTTATCTTTTTTTTTTTTTTTGGCTGTTTCTTTTACGTAAGATTTTGTGATATGTTGCTCAATAATCCGTGATTTGTTTTTTTTTCGAAGACAATGTTCATCTTTCGTCTGGTTATTTCTTTGGCGTTAACTTAAATAGATATTGTGACCAGTGGCACATTCAATAGCTGTGTTTATCGTGCAATGTTGTTGATTAGTTATTGGAATTTTTGTTTTATCATGATTCTGTAGGTTTCCTTATTTGATTTTTTTCCCTGAGCTAACCAATAATATCATGATCGAGACTAACAGTTCCTTCTGTGCTGACTTTGGAAGGAGAGGTGCTCTCCTCATGCTTTTGTTGACCACATTGCCCCGGCTGGGAGACATTCAAAAGAAAAACATTCATTCACATCGCTGACAACTCTGAAAGATCTGGCAGTCAACAGGACCCTGCAGAAACAACGAACCGGGAAAGTCATGACACATGACGGTGATAACCGATGATGGCGACATCGAGGAAAATGTCTCTTTGTTTGGTATTCAGTACTAAGTTTGGGTGATTTTTATTAATGGTACTGATTTCAGGCATCCATCAATATCTGGAGACTATGGGGTCTAAAAAAATGACTACCTAATCCCCGTTGAAGACGTCCACTCAGGCACATTTGTGTTTTTTCGACGCACGCGCTAAGATATAGTTTAAACTACAACTATGCTGAGCGGGCTTTAGTTACAGTTTCGGAGAGAAATCGCAAATTCTGTAGGGGTCATTAATTGAACAAGGACAGTGTGCTCGATGTATCGCACACGATGACTCGTAACTTCGTGTTAGCCCAAACATCGACTGCTTTCGAACAGTTTTGTCTGCCCAATTTCAATCACAATATGTGAGTCAAACACTGGTATGTTTTATGCAAGTTCTATGTTAAGAGTTTCTTCTCTTTCACTTCTCAATTGATGAAGGCAGTCTACCTTTTTTTACTGGATGACAAATGAATTTTTGCATTTATTTCATCATATAGCACTTATGAACACTACACGAAGGCAAAATCGATAGTATGCACTACATAACTCGATCGATCATTGCACGTGGAGCAAAAATCAGTTGTATACACTACACATTTCGATCGATCTCGTACACGCGTCTTATACTTACGTGCACTTCTCTCATCGGTGCACACTTTCGTTTGCACTTATTCTTTTTTTCTTAAGGAAGGATATAATTTTTGACGTCAAGTTAATGGAGACTAAACTATTTTAGTACCAAAACAGGGAAATCCATGGAAAAAAACTGATATTTTTCATAATGTATTTATGACATGTTGGGGTGTCACTTTTTGATTTTGAGTTGATTGATGTAAACACAAATTTGTGCAAATTTTCATCGGAATGCTGCTAACCAGTACAATTGAAAAAACTAATGGGGCAGCAAGGTGTTCATGGGTCACCTTGAGGGCCCCTTATGTAGTTTTCAAAATCTGATAATCGTTTCTGATTCATTTTAAGATTGTAATATACATGTAAAATTCCTTCGAAATCGAAGCAATTTGAAAATTTGGGAGTGCCTTTGGTTCACCCTAGGTGTCCCAAATTTCAAGCCAAAGGACAGGTTTAAGACTAATAGTAATTGAATTAATAAAGCACATCTTTCTAAAGTTTTCTATTTAATCAAATTTATGGCCAAGGCTGTAGACTCAATTGAAAATTTCAGGGTTCCCTGCTTGTCCCCTAACTCATGGGGATCCCAGTGTTGATTTTTAGTGAATTCCATCTGACTAATTCAGTTACTCGATGTATAATCTCAATATGTACTGAAATTTTCATTGAAATTGGGGAATACTGCTACAAAATACACTTGAGAAGCAATTGAGGTATCAAGGGGGGGTCATCCTGGGGCCCCCCTTCATGCGTTTTAAAAAAATCTGACAACCGATTTCTATCTCATTGTAAGAGCTTAACAAAATGCAAAATGTCATCAAGATCGAAGCAATTTAAATTTTGGGGTTCCTTTTGGGCCCCCTGGGGGCCCAAGTGTCGAGAGAAACAAAAATCAAAATAGTGTATAATAAGCGTAACAGTAAGTTGCATACACTTATCAAGTTTCATTAAAGTCGGCCTTTTGTGTTTAGACTTCAAGTCTGAAAGTTTAAAAACAACCAAACTAATGGTAATTTCCATTTTAAAAATTTTATTTATCGATTATCGGTTATTGATTTTTGAAAATGACTAATTTTTCCCAGACACATCCAGTATCGAGTACAATCTATGTTCCAAATTTAGTGGAAATATGTCTTATGGTTCTCGAGTAGTTCGCGAACACACAGTCAGTTTTATATCTATAGTCACTAAACATAGAACGGTACAAGTCCACGTATATGAAAATCTTATATCTAAATAAGTTCTCTGCTAATCGAGAAAGCTTTGATAACGTTTGGTTCTGACGAAACGTGACGATTTGCATTCTCAATTGTTTATAACTAATTTGCGTTTATCTATAGTGTTCCAGAGTTTTTCAGATTTTACTTATGGTTTTACAATTCAGGATAAAATGACTATTACTTTTGTTTGTGTCAAACAATCATCGAAAGAATTTTTGGCCTTGTACCAAGCTTATATTCTCCAGATCAGCTCTACTAGCCTTATTACGTGTGTGTTGTGAGACCATTCAAGCTGTTGTATCTTAAAGCAATTAAATGTTGGCTGTAATGTTTAAGATTTGTTTCTAGATGAATGACTAATAATATTTGGGACAATCGACAAAGTAAAAATTGAATTCACATAAGAAAAGTTTTTCGTCTGTGAGACAATAATTGTTAACAAATAATAGCCTTATATGTAGTTTATGTTTACAGAGTTTGAGATGGACTGTTTTTCTTACTGGTTTCGATTCGACCGCCCATGGACTCACTGGAAAGAAAGGTAGCAATGAAGAAGTCTATAGATACTGGTGGAGGTTGGGTAGGGTCTGTATAAAAATGAAATACTTCTTTATGCTCTTAGGAATTACCAGAGTAGATTGAACGAAATGGAGACGGACTCATAAAGTTCGGCTTTATTTAATGTCTTATTAAACGATCCACATGACCATAAAATCTTGCAATTGTGTTCAATCTACACCGTCTCTGCGGCCTAGTTACACTTTGCTTTGCAGAAATTCCCTTGGGAGCTTCAGAAACGATAATAAACATTCTCATTAAATATGAGGCGGATTTCGAATTCAAGTAAAACAAACAATATTTTTATGTTAACTCGTAATATTGTTTTCATTCGTATTTTTGGATGCCTTGAAAAACTGCTGTATTTTTTTTTGATTATTTTATGAACAAGGCAGAAGACACATAACTGGTGAACACTTGTTAGAAATGTAAGAAATTATAGCAACGTAATCATATTTTTGAAGATCATCATCATTGATTATCTCTTGTGATGGTTCTTTTTTATCTGGTTTCACTAATATTGAACTCAGAAGATATAGAACAAAAACATTGAGGAAAAAGTTCAAGCTTTTATTTTCCCTTTCAAAAACCAAAATTGAAATTGGTATTCATTTAAAACATTTTTAGCGATTGCAATGAAAATAAATTGTATATGAGTTAAAAAGTAATTTTCTGGCTCCCAAATGAGCCAATCAAAGAGAAGTTTTTCCCAACTCGAGGAAATACGTCAAAATCACTCACCATTCTAAATATTGCAAAATTCTTTTTTTTTTCATGTGCAGACTGACAGTTGTGTATCTTAAATTCAATTCATTTCGAATTCGTTAGACAACTCATTAATTGCTTCACCCATTTGGTTTTTCTTTGATGGATTTCCATTGACAGTTATTTCTGGTAGGATAATCAATATTGGTACACAAAAACAAAAACAACCCCCTTCCAAATTACTGTATTAACCTTCTCCACAAATGTCTATTGATAATTGACAATTTAAGTTGTATATATATAGAGATTTTTTACTTTAATATATATATATATATATATATATATATATATATATATATATATATATATAGTGTGTGTGTGTGTGTGTGTGTGTGTGTGTGTGTGTGTGTGTGTGAAATAGTACTCGATGTAATAGAACAGGCCTTTTTAGGTATATATTAATAAAGCACTTAAATAACCCTAACTTATTAAGCAAGAGAAATGAATTAATGGTTACGTAGGCATAAAACTAAATCACTGTTAAAATATGTTGATACAAACCAACAGTTAAGCAATGCTCTATTTTCTTTTCTAAGGAAAGCACGTCCTCCCTTCACACAGATTATTTTTCTCGAAACCATATCTTTGGTCATTTTTCAGTTTTCTATCTGAAGCACAATCAAAGCAATTTCTATTGGATTTATTTTGAATAGAAAATTTTTATTACTTAAATCGTAATTATATATACAGGCTGCGGCAGAGCTACCTATCATATATATCTCCTAGAAATAGCTCCCACGTAATTGTAAAACAGTAGTGGCAACGGTGTTTTCATCTAGCTACTGTCTTAACATTAAGTATCCAGTATTTCTGGGCGGAGGGATACATATGGTGAGATATATCTCTTGCGCATTATATATATATATATATATTATTTTGGTGTGATCAACAGACAACTTGCCGGACGACCTAACAACTTAAATAAGAGAAAATCCCGAACAAGGAACGATAAATGAAAGAAAGAGCAAAAGGTAAAGAGTTATCTACTCAGTAAAGTGCTGAACATCCAGATTATCCAAACACAACAAAAACGCTTCACAATGCC